ATCAAGGACTAAAGAATCGATGTGGGAGTGGCTATATGCCACGTCAGATAGCGTGTACCAGGCAGTATACAAGTGATATTGAGTAACAACAGGGCCTGCTAAGCCCGAAAGGAAAGAAAAAGTGAATGCAGTATATCTGCCTGGTTGGATAAGTGAACCATCTGCATCTGACAATCTGCGCTGTACTCCATACCTGCATCAAACAACCAGCCCCGTTAGTATATAAAAAAAAAAAGGAGGGACATCAGAAACACATTGCCGAAGGTTGATCCAGGGAGTCAGACAGCATATCAACAAGTAGTTATTTCGATCTGATTTGTTGATTGATTACCCGCAGCACCTTCTACAGTTAAAAAAAAAAGTGTACAAGTACTCCATTGCCACAAGTCAATACTTAGTCAGGTGATTGGGATAGTACCTTGGTGATCCGGTGGAGGACCACCTGTGCCGGCCATCACCATGGATGACTATMCCATCCAGGGTCTCTTGGCCCTCTCTGTTTTGTTGGGACCATTGTTCAGGTTCATGTTCCCGTTGGGGTTCGGACGTGTGTGCACGTCCCGCATGTTGATGCGATCAGGAGCAGTCAAGTCTGGCCCCACACCTGCGGAACAGGCAGAGATAGACCGCAGGTTGGCAGAGAAGAAAAAAGAGAAAGAAGCCAAGAAGAAACAGAAAGAAGAAGAAGCCAGAAAGAAAATGAAAGAGAAGATGGAGAAAGAATTGGAAGAAGAATTGAAGAGCATAGAAGAAGAAGAAGAAGTAGAAGAAGTAGAACAGGAAGAAGARCAAACCTTGCAAAGACGTCGTCACGTTAATATTCTAGAAAGTAGCACAGCCAACCGACTCCCCGTTGAACCTTTGAACTGGGCTGACCAATATTATTACTCCAGCGAAATCTTAAAGGAGTCTGAAGAAGAACGTGATCTGTTCCTTGCTAAGTTAGCTACGGTAAATGACACCGTTGAGCGGAACCTAATGATGGAAGAAAAAAGGGCAGAGCTGAACAGTAAACTGCTAGCCACCAGAAGACAAGAAATTGAAGAAAAGAAAAGGCTGCAGGCAGAAGGGGAGAAATTACAGAAAGCTCTAGAGGAGCAAAAAGATAAACCCTCTGCGACTGAAGAACAACTGGCACTGCTAAGGGAGGCCGTGCTCAATACAAGACAGGACATGGCCTTAATGCGCCAGACGTTGCAAAGAGTTGAGACCCATCGGGTTGAGTTCGAGACTATTTGGAACAACTTTTTAGAAAAGTCTGCTAAGGACGTGGACCATCATGTTCAGACATATATCCAGGTTTTGGATGATCATGTCACTAAAACGTTCACTCCGGAAGTCGTAGAGAGGATTGTGAAGGGAGCTGGAGGTGATGGGGGAGATGGTGATGACGATGGCGATGGTGACAGGAAGGGGAAGAAGAAGATTGGAGATCCTAAAGAAAAACTTCCTCAGGAATCCGGGCAGGTTAGCAAGATCAAGCTTAAACTTCCCTGGACCTATAATGGGAAAAAGGAAGAGAGTGTCTTACATTGGGCAGCCGCAATTGAAACCTACGTATACGGACAGCGTATCCCATATTGGGACAGGGTATTGATGGCGACATCATGCATGGGAGGCGACATCATGCATGGGAGGCGACGCCATGAGCTTCGCCATCTCGCTGCAAAAGGAAGCGGGATGCAGCTCTATGGTAGAGTATTCGCAGCAAACGCGAATCGACGACTTCCTTAAGTTAATAAGAGAAAGATTCGAAGACAAAAATCTAGCAAGACGTACAGAAATGTTAATTCTCAGCCTTCCTGACAGGAAATGGAAGAGCACTTCTGCATTAAAGGCCACAATGGATGAATTGTTGCAATGCCCTGATCATGGATTAACGCCAGCCCAAATTTTGAATAGCTTTGCAAGAGCACTCCCGGATCCCTTAAGAACACAGCTCTATCCCCGAACCAAGGAAGATGGGATGACCTATGAGAAGTTCGGCAAGATCGCCATAGATCATGCCGGCTTCCTCGCCGAGGCGAATTATTGCCACTACTGGAAAGATCTGCAAGCGGGAAAAAGATGGCAAAACCGCACTATCTCAGGGTCTATACCTGGGAAAGATAGTCTTCTTCTAACCTTTGAAGAAGGAGGCACCGAGACCATCTCCTGGGATCAGGTTGACTATGGTCTCGATGAACCCAACAGACCGGTAGCTCAGGAGGGGAGTTACGCGGCTGTTGCAGCCCGCGGGGGAGGGCGTCAAGGAAGAGGGCGTGGCCGAGGAAGAGGTCGCGGCCGTGGTGGAAGAGGAT